ATAAGTTGCTTTGAACTCACACAACTATGTTATATGACCCCAATTGCCCACCCACTGCTGTTGAAGCAATTCAGCTACTGCCGTTTTTGGCATGCTTAGTCAGACTCGGTGATCTCGGGGAGACGATTTGTTCCAGCCGTCCTAAAGCGTTCTCCTCCTCTTGTTCGTTCTGTATCCGGTAATTCTCATATAATACATTTTCTTACATAATATGTCACTTCTGCCCTAGTAATTAGAGGAGCGCGAACGCTAAGGACGGGTGGTTTAGGAGCCTGGTGCCAGCCGTCCTATACTATCATTGGGGGGGAGTTTGACACGGGTATTGGGTTTGACAAAACGACAAATCGCTCGCAGCTCTTTCCACATCCCATATTCAGCTTCAGCAATTGGCATACGTATGAGCATGCATCTACTTTTCATGTCTCTAAGCTCAGAATAATTTATTTCTCCTCGCTTCGTCCGTGAACACACAAAACACGCTGATATACCTGTACTGGGGAATGCATTTGGAGAGATCTCCTGAACGGTGTGTCCCAAAACCTTGGAACAACATAAAGTATACATCCTCACAGTTCTTAACTGCCTGTTCGTCAAGCCCGATATGCACGAGGTGGAGGAATTCCCTTGCTAGACGTCAGGTAGGTGTTTGTCAAACACTCTATCGAGACAGCGGAGCTTGAATGCGCATTCGCGTGTGCATGCGCCGACGACCCCAGTGGGTCTTGCACTCAATGCTTCCTTGGATAGCACTTACTATACAATCTGTAATTATGTTCTCACAAATAAAATGAGCTGCTGCAGACGATTTTTCCATCCCCTGCTGTAGTATGTGCACAACCGAAGTGCCAGGCGTGTTCAGCCCAGGTGCTCCCGATAGGGAATGCCGTCTGGAGATTGCCGCAGCCGGTGTGACAGTTCCGTTACTGATTGTCAAACTCTCCCCCCAGTGTAAGCGAAATCGTGCCGAAACCAGTATTTTGCTGCCGGAATAGTCTGTACACAGGATATCTGTAAGGACGTTTTGATATTATGAAAGAACGCGCAATTTCGCATCGACTCGTTAAAACAGCGCCCGAATATGTTTGAATTTGAAGGAGATACGAGCTTAACAATGAAATATTGTCAAACTCCCCCCCAATGATACAGTCGACTCTGTCCTAACCCATAACGGGTCGTGGAACCCAAAGTTATGGGTTTTTGCAGACTATGGGTTACCAGAGCGTGTGACACCGTGTGACTACCTAGTAAGCGTGACAGACAGCCTATTCGGTATAGGCCGGACGTCGTTTATGACAACGTTTAGATACGGAATCTTGAGTCTGGTAAGGCTTATCTTCTGAAATACCACGAGAACCGAAAATTAAGGGTCGAGATAGTCCAGGTTCTCGTGGGAAGGAGACCTGCACCTTCCCAATATAGGTTGTTTTATGGGTTATGACCCTCCAAAAAGTTATGGGTTATGGGATACGGCAGACTTATGGGTTTTTACTATCTACCATGTCGGTGGAAGCCAAAAACCTATGGGTTATTACAGGTTATGGGTTATGACAGGTATGGGTTAAGACAGAGTCGACTGTAGTAGCGTTCTCCTCCTCTTGTTCGTTCTGTATCCGGTAATAAATTAAAAATAGATTTGTATTATATAACACTGCACGTGCGCCCTAGTAAAGGAGGAGCGAGAACGCTAAGGACGGATGGTTTAGGAGCCTGGAGGCAAACGCGCTCCGAAAAGACCAAGACCTTGGCATTCGAGGTGTCTCACACACTTGCTCATGAGCTACGTCCGTTGGTAATGCGCTCGTTGGAAGTGCCTTCCCGACTATTTTGTTCGTTGTACCGTCTTTTATTCCTCCTGTTCGTACATATCCTGCAGTTTAACCGATCCGTCCCCACGTGCGCAAGCGCACTTTATCAAGTGAAACATTTTTTGACCGAGAAGCACCTGTGGCTGTACACTACACGCTTATTCCATCACAATTGCCGCCGCTCTGTCTCGAAAGCTCTGAGTTCGAGGTCTATCTCATTCTCCTGTGGGTAGATCAGACGGTCGAACTCCTGTATTCTTATAACCTCTGGAGGCTGTCATAGGGTACAGAAAAGATGGCTTTTCGACTACCCGGGAGCGGAGGACTTTCGGTGTCTCAGGAAATGCGAGAAATTCTTGGGCAGCCTGGGTTTCTGAGCATAGGGAGGGGGGGACAGAAGCTCAGGCAATTGTATTCCTTCCGTAAGTCAATCACTATTCCTAGTGTTTTGTACAATACTCAATGTATCCAGATTCCCGTTCATTCAAGTCTACTCTGCTTACCCGCTTCGGGCTGGCCTGTTACCTCGGAGAGCTGGACTCCGTGAAGAAGGTACTAATTCTTGTAAATGTGGATGAAAGCCGAAACCACAGTTACTAATCTCCGTTCTTTTCTTGACACAGGATGTACAAGCCGGATCGGCGCCTGATCTGACTAGCTGGGAGACAGCATTCCAGTTCGGCTACGCCACCTTGGTCGTCGCCGGCGCGCAAAGGGCCGAGAGGCTTGACGGTCAACCGATGTACCACGCCGACGTTCTCAAGTTTCTACTCTCCTCCGGTGCACCCCCAGACGTCCCGGACATCGTCGGATCCACAGCCCTGCACCACGCTACGATGAACGATAACGCACGAGTCGACCTCGCCCGTATCCTCCTACAGAACGGAGCGAACGTGAACCACCAGGACCGCTACGGCTGCGTCCCGCTCCTCGGTTGCTTCCAAAGTAACCAGGTCGAGGCGGTAGAGTTGCTCATGGAGTTCGGAGCGGACGTCAACATCCCCGATGCCGATGGGATTGTACCCAATAACTTTCTTTTGAGGTGCGGGCCACAGGTGACAGCCGCCGTGCAGAAGTGGCTGCGGAAGCGATCTGGGGTGGAAGCACCCATGGAGGAGAAGAAGTGCGATAACTGTGGCAAGCAACCCTTGGGCAAGGATGTGAAATTGAAGATGTGCTCTGCATGTCGCACGACGTGGTATTGTTCCACCCAGTGCCAGCGTAAGCGTTACCCGCGTCTTGAGTCCTGGATTTTTTGAATAAACGCCTTCTGACAGGACAACACTGGAAGAGCCACAAACCGAACTGCCGTCCATTCTCCCAGTCCACCACGGTCACCCTAATCCCGACCTACTATGAGCACGGCACCCTCACCCCCATGGCCGACTTCATGCGCAATATGACCGGCGTCACCTCCACCGCCCCCAAGTTCACCTCTACTGCCCCGCCGAAACCAAGTCTTTCGAACAAAGCCATGGTCATCAAGGTCCAGGTGCCCTGGTCCCTGGTAGGGGGCACGCCTGTGAACAGCCCGGAGACGCCATTGCTGATATACAACAAGAAGCGGGATTTTGTGTGCTCGGTCTTCAGGAGCAGCAACCCGGCAGCGTACGATCAGATTCAGGACGTGGTGCGGAAGCGCGGTGTGGGCGGCGCGAAGGGGTATTTCCCGGCTGAGCTGGAGAACCCTGGGAAGCTCGTGGTTAAGGTTGATCAGATCCTCGCTGAACAGCCGTTCTGATGTCCTCGGAGTCCTCGTTACTGGGTTTGTTACTTGTTTTGTTGCGCTGCGTCTGGTGGTCGTGTGTTGTATAATAGCTGTCCAGCCTGGACCTGTATTATGTCTTTTGTTATCATGTACAATTGTTATATTGTCATCACCTCTCTTCACCTAATTTCCAACCATCAATGATCACGTTTCCTTGTCATCGTGCCAACGGGAAGTGAAAGTACTTACATGCAACTTGAACCCTCGCGATCGGTGAGTCCCAAAGCACTTGAACAATCAACTACGCCCAACGCACTCGCTGGAAGTAGCTTCGGCATCTACTACTAGTAGTATTTCTGAGGAACGCCCAATGCACTTGTCAGAAGTATCTTCGACATCTACAGTGCCCAATCGTTTATTCTTCCCTTAGTATGTTTTCTGCACCCCGCACGACGTCGACGTCTTCTCAGGTGAAACAATTTTGCCCGAGAACCTCCTGTGGCTGTACACTTCAAGCTTAACTGCTTCTTCATCCTCCTCGCGGGACGTGTACTTTGCATCAAAGCGGCCGCAACACGTATATTGGTTCTTCTGGCACCCGGTCGCGGGTCCTCGGACGGCTTTGCTGCTCGTCGTCGACGCGCATGCGACTACAGCTAGGGGTTTCTTGCTCTCTGACCTGCGCGCACCGTTCTGGCCATCGGTTTACTCGAGCTAGGAATGATGCTTTCGGGACCGGATCACTACAGTGACATTGCTAGACGTGTTGAAATATGGAGATTCAATACTCCGAGTACGGGACGTTGAAGGGACGCGTCGCAGTACTGGACGGACGACGCGGCTGACGTGGACGTGACTCTCATTTACTGCACTCTCATTTCCTGGAGCAAACCTGGCGATTCCAGGCTCATTCTCTTGACCTGACAGTAAATCCGTTGGGTGGCGAGCGTGGCCCGTGTCTCCCCGATCCAGATGGTCGTCCGCTTTGACGACCCCGTGCGCCTCCTCGTACCCGCTTAGGCCCTGCATCGAATGCTCCAGCGCTGCAGAAGAAATGGTGGCTCTTATATTTCTGCGGGCACGGTCGATACAGCGCGGACATCCGACGGTCACGGCTCCCTATGTCAGGAAGCAAGTGTAAGTGAAACACAGCTATAGTCTGCCTCGGCATGTCAGCGATCCTGGTCTGCGCTTCCTCGTGTCCGACCCTATCCTCGACGGTGACTTCATATGCTGCATTTTCCCTGCTAGGCACCCGTCTTTTGTAACTCCCCGATAACCCGCTGTTTTGCTGGCAGTATCTGCGCGGCTTCAACGTCCCCTCGAGGCTTGAGCGTTTGAGGCACGGACAGGCACGCATGTCAAGATACCGGGACGTTCGTATCCTGTCCTCGAGGCGGGAGCTGGTCCAGACTCTTGCCCTCCATTCCATCGCTGAACGGTCGACCCTCCGCAGGTTCCGAGCGCGTTGCTACACTGCGTAGATCCCTGTGTCTGCCTCGTTCTGGACGCACGTGTGCACGTGGTCTACCGCCACGTGGTCTTCCCAATTCGGCAGGTCATTTAAGACCTGCGCGCTTCGACCGTGTCCAGCCTCAGTCGTGTATACTTTGCATCGTACCCACGCTCCTTCACATTCTCGCAACTCACCATCCATGCAACCGCACGATGTGCAGACGGGGCAGCCGCTGCCTCTGCCGGAGATATCGCCTCTGATCATCCGCAAGACGTCGCGCACGAATCTCCACACTTCGTACGACCCAGCGCAGGGCGGTGGCCCCATGCACGTCGACGCGCTGTCGCGCTCGCCGTCGGGGATACGAAAGCTGCCGCCCAGACCTGACTCGAGGAAAGGCGCGCTGCCGAAGATACAGATCCCCGTCGGGCGGGAGAACCGCTTTGGTGACGAGCGGGAGGATCCTCGGGCGTTCTCCGGAAGTGGCAACTTCGACAGCGCAGGCGATACCGTGCGGGCGCAGCATCAGCCCATGCAGTCTACCGGGAGCCAGGACTCGATGAAGGTGCTCAGGGACACTATTGGTAACATGAGCATGTCTCGCCAGCCATCGCGCAGTCGCCTGAATGGCGCCGTCCCGCTTAATAATGCGATGGACGTGGACGACGCGGAGAGTGATGTGCTGAGGCAGCTGGAAGAGACGAGGGAGTGGTCGGATGAGGTTTTGACTGAGATCTCGAGAATTGGCGAGGGCGCGAGCGGGACGGTCCATGCTGTGCGTGATACGAGGACGGGCATCGTGCTGGCGCGGAAGACCGTTACGACGAGAGAGGCACCTATGAAGCAGCTTCTCAGGGAACTTAACATCGCCACGACTGCGCGACACCCCAATATCGTCAAGTCGTATGGAGCTTATATCAGCCCGAGCAGTAGCGAAGTGAAGGTGGTGATGGAGTTCTGTGAAGGACGAAGTTTGGAGGCTGTCGGGAAGCGGATCAGGCAAGGAGGTGCGAGGGTCGGGGAAAAGGTCATTGGGCGATTCGCGGACGGGGTGAGTTCGTTATACGGCGGTCGGAGCGATGTTGTACTTATGAGGTGCCCCAGATCCTCGAAGGCCTCGCGTACCTCCACTCCCAGAAGATCATTCATAGAGATATCAAGCCTTCGAATATACTCATCTCTCGCCGAGGAATCGTCAAGCTATGTGACTTTGGCGTATCAGGAGAGCTGGTCAATTCTGAAGCCATGACGTTCACCGGGTCGAGCCTCTACATGGCGGTATGTGCTGGGGCCTTCCATGAAGTCGACTTGACCTTACTCAGCTTTACCGTCGTGCAGCCCGAACGTATTCACGGCCAGAAGTATAATATCCGGTCAGATGTCTGGTCAACGGGGCTATCGTTGCTTGAGTTTGCCATGAACCGCTTCCCGATCCCTGTGAACGACCAAGCGCCCATCGAGCTGATGGTGTCCATCACGCGCAATGAGGTGAGTATCCAGCCCGCATGCTGGTGATAGGCACCGCCCTTACTTTAGACTTCTCACAGCCTCCTCAACTCGAAGACGAGCCAGGTCTCACTTGGAGCGATGCCATGAAAGACTTCATTCGCTTATCGTAAGACATGGCCTTCGGTATTCTCTTTCTTGCCCTGTTGACATACTCGCCTCTCAGCCTCACTGTATCTCCAATGGACCGCCCGTCTCCGGAAGAACTGCTTTCCCATCCGTGGATCACGCAAGTTAGGCAACGCGAGGTCAACATGGCAGCGTGGATCAGCCAAGTGTGGGGCTGGTAATCTCCGGAGCGGTCGCAGGAACCCTCAGGGAGCGGTTCTGGTACGTCGTCGGGCCCTCACGTCAGGAAATGGGCTGACTCTTTTGGCCAGGTGGAATGTGAATGATCGCGCGCGCCCAAACGGATATTTATTGTACTCCCTACCCTCATTGGATTCTTGGAATATGGATTATCACGTAACATATGGTACCCTACCAGTTCGTTGTAGTTTCGTTATCGCTGTCTACTAATATTTCAAGATGATCATAATGTACAAATGTACTCGTTTGTCCCAGGGCTGTCTGCTTGTCCGACTCCCCTCGTGGTGTACACGTTCCCCGACGCTCGGGGATTCGCGATCTTGCTCGTTCGGGGAAGCGCAGAATGCGAAGAAGGGATCCGAGGGGGAGCGGGCCCCCAACGACTTGGAAACGACGTCACTATGGCTTGACGCTACTTTGCCCCGGTCAGTTCTCTTCGCCTTGTGCAAGATAAGACACATTGCGCTGCTAGCCATAGTTGTTGTAGGTCAGATTGCCAGGAACTACGGGCAAAGTCGGAGTGCCCCTCTGAGATTTTAGGACTGCTAGTGTCTGCCGTTCCTCCCCGCACGCCACACTTGTGGCTTCTCCATGAGATCCACGACTGACCTTGGTAGTCCTGGGAAGGCCTGCCATTCTGCCAATGTCCACGTCCTGCTTCCGGTTCCATTCACCGAAATGGAGCAATCCCATTTCTGAAAGGTTCTGCTCACAGGTCTCCCGAGAGAATTACTAGTACAGGGGCGCCTCGCGGTCGCACGGGAGTCAAACAGTACTAATACCTCTGTTTGAACTTCGCGCACTAACGTCTCTGGCTTCCCTCACTCTTTCCAAGCTGCTGGGCAATATGGTCCTCCACAACGCGTAAGTGACAAGCTGCGGCTATATCATGGTTTCCTCTTGACACTTGAGGTTAGAATCGGTGCTATCTTCATTGGGTCCGTGCTGTCGACTGTGTAAGTGCCTAGTCTGCGGCGATTCGTATTTTCGAGGATTCAATGGAGTATGGCGATTCTAGACTGTACGGCGGTATGTCTTCACACGTCATCGTGAATCCGGAGTTGCCTAACCGGCCGTGCCAGTATCCTGTGCTCAGGTGTATTATTATTTCGGTCACAACAAGAAAGATAACTGGTACTTCAAGTCGTTGGCAAGTCTTCGCCGCTATCTGGGAGCGTTTGCCTAATAGCTACAATACAGGTGCTGGCCGTCTGGATCTCCGACACAGTCCACCAAGCCTTGATCTCCCATTCAAGTAAGCTGAAACTTGGGTCTGTCATCCTACGTCTTCAATACCAATATTATTAGCCTACGCCTATGTCATCACCAACTATGCCGACATCGCGACTTTGAATGACCTGATCAAGTGAGAGGTTTGTTCATATTGCACGAGTGATTGCGTCTCATGCTTTTTCCTATAGTTCCTTACTAGTAAGCTAGGGTAAATTATCGGATGCTATGTACCTCATATAGATCTAGGTCCAGTTCCTATTCACCGCGTTGACTGCAGTGCTAGTCCAAAGGTATGTCACTAGGCCACGGGCCGCGACACCGTCTATCTCATTCGCTTTGCTACCGCGTGCAGTTATTTCACGTTCAAAGTGTGGCAACGTAAGCGGGTGCCAAACCGGCTGGCATCATTAGACTGACCTTTCGACCTTCTGGTCAGTGAGTGACAGAAACTATGTGATGGCGGGAATAGTAGTGCGTGCTTTTTACTCGTCAATGAACCCGTTCGTAACCACGGACTTAGTTTGGGATGGACCTTGCGGGTTTCGGTACGTGGTCCGTCGTCTCGCGAAAACATTCTATCCCATTACAGATCACGTCGTCCAGTGTCTACGATTGGTGAGTAAGCATTGCATTTTTTAGTATACACTATAACAAATTGTTGCACAGTTTACACAGCATTTGGGTTGTTTTCTATCGCCTAGAAGCTGCGGTGACGTACTAAGTGGACGCTAATAGGCTGCAATCGCGGACGTTTGCTCAGCTCGATGCTTTCAAAGTAAGATGTGACGATCATTCATATCACTTTCTGACAGATCCCGACGACCACAGCATCTCATACTTTGCGTGAACATCTTCTCTGCGGTGCCCAACGTCTCTATTACAGCTGCCACCTTCTATCTGGCTTCCACGAGGAAAAAGGATGCCTATAGGTAGTATACTATGTCTGTCGATTTCTCGTCCTTGATCTGAACAGGATCCTACAGTGACATTATCAATCACTCCGTACACAGTCTATTTCTCCCGTCCTGCTCTTCGTGCTGACATGGGTTAATCTCAAGCTGGAATTCTGCCTAGAAACGGGCTTGATGTTCAGGCGAGTCAATGAACGCCAGACGCTGTCCCTATCGTCTGGTGACAAACATATCTGTCTTACAGTATCTTTTCGGTCACGATGATGATCACTGTGCGTGTTCTCTTCTGTTTCATTCGACAAGTCGTACTCAAGAGATGTCCTGGTAGGGTATCGTCATGCCCGATTCTACCGTCTATCTTTGCTTCCTCTTCATTTTGAGCCGAGGTATCCGCTTGTCTTTATATTCGACGGGCACCACTCACGACGTCCGATATGTCTACAGCGTACCTCAATTCCCTGTTGTTCGTCTTGAATCGTAGGAAAGATGCGCGAGGAACGTCCGGGAGTCACAGCGAGAAGCACTCCCTCTCTCGCCCTAGGACCCGCCTGCCGGTGCACGGTCGCGTGAGTTGTGTTCAGACGACTGACTAATCATGTAACTGCGTTTGCTCACGAGTGGATCCCCGACATCGTGTGGCAGTCTGCTCAAGGTAACATAGCCATAAGGATTGATACCGTACAAGAGTTCGCGGGAGACACTGGCGTGAGTGTGATTGGTTTGCTCATCCAGATTGGGAAGGAGCTGACAGTGTCCGTATAGTCCCCCGTCGACGACCCTTTCAAATCTACTTTGGAAATGCACGACTCGCACGAGTCAGAGTAGGTAGGCTGGCCAGAGTGCGTCCGTCACATCGCCATTGTCTCTCCTTAACCTACTCCGTCTGGGCATCACGCGAGTCCGGGTGCTGGGACATCCGGACGGTGAACCGAGATACCCATTTTACATGCCGTTCGTTTGTGCTTTGCGATCACTGTTGTTACACTATCGTACTTATACCACCGTCGCCGCCATGATAAGCTAGGGGCCAATTAATGGAAGTACGGAGCCGCATAGGCTTTGACCGAGAGCCAGGCGTCGTCCAGGACTTGGCATACTTCTTCCGCTATTGAAATAGTCCGTTAGTCTCCAGTGAGACCTCTACAAGACAGCAGACATACGGAGTGGACCCTTCTCTAAATCGATCAAGTTCTACGTTTCCATAAGTACGACACATCATGGCTTCAAGGAAATGTCGTCGTACCTCCTCGATATGCTTAACGCTAGATGCCCCTATAAGGATCGCGTCGCCGAATTCACGCTTCATGAGGCTGTGGTGTGAGACCCAGCGCAGGGCGATCTCGGCTAGCGTCAGGTTATGCTTCGTCGCAACAGCTTCGACAGACTCGAGGGCTTTGAAGTACGGCTCCTTCCAGTACCTGCAAAAAAGTTAATGATAGTACTCCTGAAACAAGGGCACGTCTGTTATGCAATACCTTTGACGGTAGCTCTGCAAGGTGGCGCAGAGTCAATGCGAATCTAGCGAATATACCAAGCGGGACGTACCCGACCTTGACCCTTCTCAGGATCGAATCGGGAGCCAGGCTCGACCTGGTTATCGAGGGATTTGTACCGGCCGGTGAAGAAACCCCCTCCCACTATAAGTTCGCATGCGTTGAGATTGATATAGTCGTGTAGCTCGCAATCACTCACAGGGATTAAACTCGTAGAATGCGATGCCAAACTTTCTGAGGCAGGGGAACAATTCTGGCTCGACGCCCCTACATATAGTTCGGTGTCGTTATCCGAGGCAGAATGAGCTGAATCCATTACCTGTGCATTGCATTGTATATTCCCTGGTACGCTGTAGGTTGGATGTATCCGTTCGCCTTGCAGATCCCCACTATTTCTGCGACCTCCCAGCTTATGCCTCCACTTCAGTGACATGGAACAGAAGGGAGAGATCCAAACCCTTACGCCATATAATTACTGATTCCAAATCGCTTGAAGTATCCTTCCTTGTACAAATCGTTCACCGCTTTCAGAGTGACTTCGTACGGAGTGGATCGGTCTGGCCCGTGAAGGTACCACATGTCAATCTGACTGCGACGGCGAACGTGTACGGTGGCCGGGTAAGTCCGATTCCTTCATTGTATCGTTAAGGAATACTCACTCCGTGTTCAAAGCCTTCAGAGAAGCCAGTAGATGGGTCCTCAAGTCCTATGAGAATATCAGCAATATTGGCAATACATGATAGAATGCACTTGCCTCGGGGGAATGGGTTATGACCGATATACCGTCCCGCTTCATCCTAGCTTGAGCTGCCTACCTCAAAGTTATGATGTGTTTCGAAGTATTAACTCGTATCCCCTACGGCGCTGGGATACAGCTTCGTATCCATGACGAGCCCGCGCTTCTGCCAATTAATTTTCCCGAGATACTCTTCGCTGGTACCGCCGCAGTAGACTCGAGCAGTATCAACCTAAATCTCGGTATTCATAAGCTCTCTTGGGTTTACTTGGTATATTCACGTACTTCGTAGTGGCCATGCGCCTGAAAGACGTCCAATATTGCTTCTACGTCCTTCAGGTCGTGGACCCGAGCCTGCTCTTTGCCGGCCTCCCCAAATGTCATGGCTCCCTAAAAAAAATCAGACAACCCACTTCTACTGACAGTGTATCATGTCTAGACTGTGTACCATAACGATATTGAGTGCACTCTTCTGGTTGCCCCGTGTGGCGGACATGGTGGGCTGCTCTACTTAGTCACTCGAGGGGGTCAAGTTCTTCGGTCATCCGCTGTATGCCTCTATATACCCAGAGATAAGAGTGCGGCTTGATATTCATGGGCCCGGCATCTGCTAACAATGACATCGAGTCGAGGTAGTGAGTCACCTGGGCAGCCGTGCGCAGGAATGTCATACTTCTTAATCACGTGCGCAGGACGCGTTGGAGAGTTCGGTCTTGACACCCATGTACAGTAGGTAGCTTTACTGCGCCCCCGTGCAAACACGTACAAATATACCATATCCAGAAGAATATCACGTGATGCCGGCAAACGCGGGCTTCCCGCCGCGCGCGTGTCCGGCCAGTTAGAGTATCTTCAAGTCTGGACTAAGAGGGTCATATAGATGGGGCGAAATAAATTTTCATTGAAATCTATATAGCTGTGATACATGTGGCTGACAAGGTAGATATAAAAGTCAACAGTAAGGAAAGTTAATAAACCCTAACCCTAAAAGCACAAATCAAAAAATGTGCACAGTAGGAATTGAACTCTAGACGTCCAGTGCTGAATGCACGCCGCATAACCACTACACTAAAGAAGCGATGCATGTCTTACACATTAAAAATATATGATGGCAATGTAATTGGCGTTTACTTAATACGGCTGGGTCCAGTTATTTTTAGTGACGCGGCCGGAGGGGTCGGAGGTCACATGATATTCTTCTCGAAAAGGTAATATTTGGTCATGTTTACGCGGGGGCGCAATAGCAAAGACGATGTACAGTCGACTCTCCCAGACCCATAGCGGTCCGTGGACACAGAAAGGTATGGGTTTTCGGAGACTATGGGTTACCAGGGTGTGACAGAATGTGGAATTGGCGGGCAGCGTGACATGTGGCAGGGAGCACGGCATATGCCGGACAGTCCGTGATGCTGCATTATGCTACGCGTGGCCCGGTATGGGTGCACACTGCCACTCGAGAAGCGCCGATGGCTGTCGGCAGCTTACCCTCCATCCTTATGTATATTAGTTGAGCTTGAGTACTACTTATTGCATAAAAATCACGGTATCATAGCTTGTTGAGATCAATGCCTCGAGTTCTACGATAAAAAAATCAGCTTGTTATTAATCGAGCTGGGTGAGCTTCGGGGTCCAGGAGGTCCAGTGGCATATCCTGGGCAGCCTGTGTGCAGTTTCATTAATATTGCATGCAAATGCCATGAAATTTCCACTTATAAGTGGTGGCAAAAGAACATAAAATACATGGAGTTTTAGTGAGCCCCTACTCCATACATTCAATCCCAGGTGGACTGCATAAATTTTATGTACTGTGCTGATAAGTCATTCAGGTCTACTGTCTGACGGATTCAAGAGTTGATTTGAAACAAGTCCTCATTCCGTAATGGTGCCACTAAAGCCAAACATGGCACGCCGGGATGTGCTGGTCGGTTGAAAAGTGGTCCACATATTGGGGGTGCCACAATGCCTCCCAAAGGAGGGGTATATTGGTATGGACTTTGGGTTGGAATATGAGACACTCTCAATAGTAAATGGTGCAAAAGTAATAAATGGTGGACCATATGGCTCTGATCAAGCTAAAAATAGGACAATTTATGGCTATGGGTAATGGGGTATCAGAGAGTTATGGGTCATCAGGAAACCAGAATATCTCCGGATGGAGACAGCGTCTCCGCGGCTCTGCCATGTGCGGGATGGAGACAGGTTCTCCAGACGGAGACGAGGTCTCCATCCGGAGACATGCCCCCCACTAATATACAGTAATCTGTGCTAAATTTTGCTTGAATGCAAAGAGCAGCACATATAGCAAAAACATAAGCCCATATCCTGTCCCTATGTGAGGGATAGATATCGAGTGTCAGGTATACGAACTCCCGCCGAAGCCATGTGGTGTCTCCAGGAGGAGACGCTGTCTCCGTCCTGAGCCGGACGGAGATGGCCGTCTCGGGATGATGGGGGGACCTCTCCGTCGCTCCGGGGCTCCATGTGACTCCATATGGAGCATATGGAGATATCCGAGGTTCCTGATGGTTGTCGCGACCATTAATTAGGAACCAAATTGGTGGACATAAAAATGTATGGGTTATTAAAAGGTTATGGGTTATTGGAGGTATGGGTTAAGGGAGAGTCAACTGTATCAGTAAATACACATTTGCTGTGTTCAAGTAAGTGCCTATGCGCACTAATAAACCATCAGACCAGGGAACACCACACCTCTTCCGCCATGATTTGATGACCTGGAAAAGGCGTTCTACAGAATCTCTGCTTTGACCAGTGCAACTACGGAGACAGGGATTGGTAGACATTGCTGAACTAGGCGCTGACTTAGCTGCCAGGTTCTACAACATACCAGAACGTACCAGAACTCTCTGGAACTTTCTGGTATATTTCATTATTGTACAAGGGCACGGAGCTCATGTGGGTCAGTGACATCATAGGTGGAGCACAGTAGGATTATAGATATTCCACATAGCTTAGTTAGCCTATGGGCCACAGTGTATATAAACCCTGCCACCCTGCTGCCTAATGACAAGGGTCGTTCATACGAGCTTTACCAGTAGCTACAGCATCCAAGCAATACAGGTGAGTTGTGTAGGGTGCACTGTGCATGCTGCTGCCTCCATAACTCTTCATTACCTGTTCCCCCCATCAAGCTATGTCACTCCACAGGGACCCTCAATATCGTGGGTGAGCGCAGGGAGCAGGGAGTCCAGGAATGCTATTGCCTCGGCCAGATTGTATCGTAGCGGCGCAAGCGCCAATCCCCGACTCCAGTCAGAAACCATTAAGTATTCCAGTACTAGTGTGTGGTCAAGCTGCGGAATGCCACTCTTGACAGACACATACACAGTATTCATATAGTCCTGTCTTATATCTACATCAGTATTTAAAGGGGCTTCTCAAGTTACTGGTTGCCACTCAGAGATACTAGTCTCATCTATTGGCCTCACTTGTTTGAATGCATCCTTTTATTGAATGCTATGCACTTGCATCACTTGATCGTTCACGTTAGGTGTGTGCGGGCAGTTGTCTTCAAGTCGAAATGAAAGTGGCATCGGTCCAGTCGGGACCGTTGATTACATGAGGTTCTCACGGCGAGAGCGAGTTGTATGGTGGAGCGACCATTTCTTCCAACTACCGTGGGAGTCGGGGATTCAGTAGTGTTCTGAACTGCTTCCGCTCGTAAACTGTAGCGGGACGGAGCAAGGAAATCTCGCCAGTGGCCGCCATAGCACTCTAGGCCCACTCAGAAAAGGCTGTAGATGTGCAGCAGGACGCTGTCTGGAAGGTAAGTACGAGGACTCAGAGCGACCGCTGCACGTGCGTAACGCGTTCCATATGTCACGCCACTTTAGTCACGAATCGCGTCTGGGTGGCTACGCCACCCGGCCATTACTTTCAGCGACCAGCTGAACTGAAATCCAGGGTTATTCCTTTGGTCGCAGATTTCCTCAAGTTGCAAGCCCTCAAACAGGTGCATCTTCGCCCAGTTAGAGATGCCGATCTTGGTAAAACAGTGCCTTGCGGAAGAGTCTTGCTCACCATTACCGTACGTGGAAGTTCGACGTCCATAGATAGATAAGTGTGCAAGATACATGTTACATATATTCTAGTCCATTAGTAGCTATTCTACTGAAGTGTGGAGGGAGTGTGCAGGAGAGTATGTACAGCGAACGACTGAGCGTTTGATACACACAAGTAGTCAAGGGAAGGCTGTGCAGTGGGTGAGGGTATGAGAATGAGTAATAATGTGCGAGGGGATAGCAAGTAGAGGAATCCAAAAGGGGGGTAATAATTTAGGATCCTTCGCGGCGGATCTTGGCCGGATTCGGCACAGATTGAAGGACAGGCGGGTCGGAGATGAATATATTGTCGCCCTTGACGTTGAGGAAGGAGTACTACATTGCATCCAAATTATCAGCATTCTTTCCCCACCACCACCAACGAAAGAGCAGGACTGACCTCAGCCAACTCGGTGTTACTCTCCTTGTTATAATTTTGGTAGACCAAATTCGGCTCGGTCATGAACGGCCGGAGCCCCGCCTCCTCGAGTATCGTCCACCACGCGAGGAACTCGCTGAACTTCTTCCCCCAGAGGTGGATCTCGAGCTGCAGCTGGCCGAAGGGGAGGGGCTTGCCCGAGGCGACGTACGGCTTAATCAGCGCTGCGAGCGTCTCGAACTCCCAGCTCTCGATGTCGATTTTCAGGATGTCGATGTGCGTGTGGCCTGGGACCGACATTAGCGTGCATTGCGGAGGGTAGCACTATGAATATGATGTGTGTGCGCACCGTTCATCTGCATGAGTGCCTCGAGCGTGTACTGTGCGTCTTCGTTGGCATCGGTGCCCGCGAGGCGGTAGGGATGGAAATGCGCCCTGCTGCGCAGCGACTTGGGGATCTGGGGGCCGAACGAAGAGACGGTGAAGTCGTAGCCCCATACTTGGCAGTGCCGCGTCCGCGATAAGAGTTCTGCCTCGAACGAAGACTCGTAGTTTATTCCTGCAGCAGATCCGTGTATTATGAGATGAGTGCTGCGGACGGTGCTGAAGTGCTTACCTATGGAGTAGACGATGCAGTCCGGGTTCTGCTCGACCCTCGACAATCCGCACGTCCATTTCCCGCCATCCCCCATGTCGCCTATTCGCTCCAGCTCATGGGGGCAGTTGAATGCCGGCGGGAAGAAGTCCCCTAACGATCCTCTCTCAGTATCTCTTATTCGGAAGCAGCGATACGTCACTCACACACTGTATACGCCGGCCAGGGCTCCTCATTAGGAGGAAAGCTATTGAGGAAGTGACGATTAAGGGGTGCACACGAGGAGTACGGGAGGCTGCTCACGTGGCGATGTCTTTTGGGGACGGCCCAAACCGCTCGATGAGCTGTTGTCGTTTCTTCAGCATCCGCTCGTAGATCATCTCGGACTTGGCTATTCGGGAGCTCAGACTGGGGTCGTATGTTACAACGTGCGGCGAGCCATAGCCCCATAGGCTGTCCGTCGCAAGCATGTAGAGGGTGCCTGAGAGAACCAGCAGGACAAAGAGCGAGTATCGCGGGTGGCGTTGGAGGACGGAAGGCATGTTGGATGCGGTCGTGGCGGGAGCAGGAGGGGATAAAGGATGGACGACGTCCCCAGGACTGTCAGTCGTGCTTGTGAATGTAGCGGACGGGAAGGGCGGACAGCTGATCACGCTTGTCCTTGCCGGTTTAGGAGGAGATATCCGGTCTTCCTGCGGGGGACTATATAATTACCAACCGCCCAGTTCTCTGCCCTCACGAAGTATTCTAAGCTCCACACATATCATTGCCCCGCTATCTGGGGTTGTGACAACCCCCGACATATGTCCCGTATGTTTATTTCCGTCCTGCGTTGCGGGTTTTCGACTCGGACTGCGATCCCTCTGCACTCCTGTTTGCACGGTTTGGAACGCCACAGAACATCTTCACGGTACAGCGCAATCTCGATCACAAGGAAATCAGAATCCCCAGGGAACTGAACAGATCTGAAGAGCCCAGGTCGTTCGAGGACCCCTGAAAATACTGATAAATGCCGGTGCGAGACTCAAAATTTCCATGTCTGGATTGTCTGAGGCTCCCCCCTGCATTTTTGTCCGGATAAAATACCGGCCTCCCGAAGGGGCCGATTTTTGTCCGGACTAATGCACCGGCATTTGAAAAAACAGAAAAGAAATGTTTTCTCGTCTATCAACTCATTGGAACACTTGCAATGTATCAGTAATAGTACTAGGACTTGAATGCAGTCAATGAAGCGACAGAATTCACGAAGGCCGCACACTCCCCATCCTCCTGCCCATCCCAGTCCAGATGGAGTGCGGCATTCGTTTTGCTTTTGTCCCAATCCAATCCTTGGGATTGAATGAGACGTTCACCTCTTCCGTGAGGTCAATGTCCGCCACGCCCTAATGTGAATCCCGCTGAGACTGCTGTATCCCATATGAACGAGCTCGAATCGCACACTTTACGTTATTGTGGGCGTCGTCCATGCTTCCAGAGTCACGTAAAGTGGTGATGGTGTAGGGAAACTTTGACGATACAGCGTACTGATCTCAGCCACATTCAGCCACTGGACATCGGAGCCCATTGTGCTACATACTAGAAACTATATATCACAGTGCAAATAAGGGCTACACGAGGGTACACAACGACAGGTTGGGACAAACCTGCACCATAATTGGTTTAAAATACTATAAAGGGTAAATACATTGGGCCCGTTGCCAACTTGCCACACAGCCGTGTCCGGACTGTAACCGGCATGGTAGCTCGGTCATGACCGGTGTCCGGACTGTAAAACCGGGATGGCCGGTTCGATCGTCCATCCTTGTCCGGATGGCGTCTGGCATGGAGGGCTCGAGACCGCGATTTTTGTCCGGACTGGCACCGGCATCTATCGGTATTTTCAGGGGTCCTGTCGTTCGACATCGACGACAGAAATGGCCGGCGTGCCAAGCCAACGAGAGGCGGTGCATCCCGGCGACCGCCCAAGCGCTCACAAGCGAATCGTCATTATTAGCCCAACTCAATATCGTTTCTCGTTTTCATTTTCTCGGGCGCACTGGCACCCCTCCTGCCGACGCGGCGACACGGAGAAACCCGAAGTTATTGAGCGTGCATTTTCTGGCGGATTTCTCGTCGCATGCTAGACACCACAGCTGTCAGATAGCTCGTGCTCATCCCACGTGCTGTATTCTATGGCGGACTGGGATGGTATGTGGCAGTATCAGCAGGGTCACTATACTGGCCCTGCCCTAGCTCAGTAGTTGCAAGGGTGCCAGAACACAACTTAGTGCGCGTCCAACAGCGCGTCACAACAAGCCAAAACATATCGTATTAGGCAAGACATAAGCAACCGAGAGCCTGGTACATCAGTACAGCGCATGGCAATTGAAAGTCCGCCCCAGAGAAACGAGAGAAACAGCTCGAGGAGCTGTTTC